CGGGGAAAAGAGGGTAAAAAGCCACACAAAAGATATGAAAAGGTCACACCTGGGAAAGCATATCATTATAATTGCTTTATTTTAATGGTAATTAATGATTCACGATAAGACGATTCACCTTATACTGCAATATTGGAGGACACATTACCGTCGTTATTCGAGGTTTTACTGTACACTACTTTTAGAAATATTACTTTCATACAACATTATAAAATGGACAAACAATGAAAATAAAATAAATAAAAGTAAATAATTATGTTCAGGAAGCTTCCCTGTGGCCGAGGTGTAGCGTGACAGGCAAATAGTCAAACGGGAACCTGATAACCCGCGCTGGGGTTTAAACAGTGGCGGGAAAAGGCGAGTGTTCTGGAATGTCACTGGTGCGCCAGTCGGCCGTTCTGGAATGTCAATTGGGGCCTTAGGGTTAATATAGACATCTCTAGCAATAAGCTGAGGTTTTTTGTTAAGAAGTTTTGGTGTATAGTATGAAGTATAAACAGACACAGATAACATTATGTGCCCATTATACAAGACATATAACCTTCGCTCTAAAATAGAACATGCATAGTTTAATTTTCAATACACTTTCTACAGCTATTTTCTTCACAGTAAATACATATTTGACAAATGATTACATAAGATCGTGTCTCTTACCTCATACAAAAAAGCTTTCTCCTTTCCTAAACCTTCATATGGCCATATTCCATTTGCAGACTTTGCACCACCGATGAGTTCCCTGATAAACTTCTTATCCTTATCTCCTAATTTATATTTCTCAAATTCATCATCAAGGTTATTGACTTCCAATAAATAATCAAACATTTTTACAGATGCCTCCTCATGCTGCAAAAGAATTAAAAACAATTTAGTGCTCAACCTAAACCTGGTCATTAGATTGATATTCATTTTTAAAAATGTCATACAAGTTCACAATGGTTCAGCATGTACAGATACCTCACTGATACTCAAGTTACCCCAACTGGAGGATGTTGGAGGAGGGAGACAACAGAGCAAGTTAGCCAGAACAATTGGTGAAGAGCAGTTCTGAGATCTAGAGATTTTTAGATTTGGAAATAAATTTTTTCATCCCCAGAAAAAAATTGCACATCCCCAGAATTTTGGGAGGTAAGTACTGGGGAAAGTTTTCAGAGATTCTAACCTAGACATCCTGCACAAGCAGACACAGAGCAGTGCTTAATTATTTATGCAAACACCACTGTACACATAAACTAAATTGTATATGAAATTTTTTTTTAACCAGATACAGTATTACCCCGCTTTACACGGTTTCACTTTCCGCGATTTCTCATTTACACGGTGCCTTGCCAGAACCAGACTTTCACTTTCCGCATGTGCATCTACTCATATACGCGGTGAAGTATTTTATTTATTTTTTTTAGCTCATAAAATTCATACAAATTACCCGGCCAGAATATAATTTACATTGCTGGAATTCTTACAATATGATTATCATTTTGAATACAAACATCATGGATTTTGCATTAGACATACAAATTTTAGATCTAAAGTAATAATTTAGTTTTACACAGCAAATATTTTATTTTTTGTGCAAAATATATGAAGTTTACATTCAAAATATTCCCTGACCTGCATGGAATCCAGAAATGTCAATTATATTATCTAACTTTAGTCTGAGGTATTATTTATTACTAAATGTTAAATCTAGGAGTTTTCACCCACACATTTATCTGGTAGGAGGGAAGGTGGGGGAGGTTGGGACTGTCTGACCCAGCTGGTTTGAGTGTGAGGAGGGGGGAGGCAAGTGGGAACTTTGATTGACAGATAGTGTCGTGAAGAATATTTTTTTTTTTTTTATTAACTGAAGGTATTTGTTTTAGCTCATAAAATTCATACAAATTACTCAACCAGTATATAATTTACATTGCTGGAATTCTTACAATATGATGATCATTTTGAATATAAACATTATGGATTTTGCATTAGACATACAAATTTTAGATCTAATGTAATAATTTGGTTTACACAAAGCAAATATTTTATCTATTGTGCAAAATATATGAAGTTTACATTCAAAATATTCCCTGGCCTGCAAGGAATCCAGAAATGTCAATTATATTATCCTAACTTTAGTCTGAGGTATTATTTATTACTAAATGTTAAAACTAGAGTTTTCACCCAAACATTAATCAGAGAGGTAGGAGCTAGTGAGCTGGGAAGAGGGGATTTGAGTCCATTATTTGAATGATTAACTGGTGACTGTATTTCTCTTAAATATTAATTGTGTGACATACCATCATAAAATTTAGATGTTATTTTTACAACAACATAGATATTGTGTCAAAAAAGTGGAGTTTGGGGGTCGGCCAGTTCTATTGGAATTAATCCCATATGTTCTGTTGTTCACTTCACGCCGATTTTCACTTTCCATGTTACCCTGTGGGTTCAATTGATCATGTAAATCGGGGTACTACTGTACACTATACTGTACTGTACTTGCCAATACATACTGTCATCTCCCGTAGCAGGTGTTGCGAACTGCCACTCTCCTCTCCCTCCGTGAAGGAGGGATTGTATGATGCACATATGGTACTTTCACACTTACTGAATGTAGGGTACAGTACAGTATACATAACTGTAATCACTTTTTACATCTAAACACTGCTTTAACAGTATTTCTGGGTAATTATATCCTAGTACAGAAATGTATAGTACTGTACAGTAATGAATAACAGATCGTATGCAAAAACAGCAGTGAGTGAGCGAACATGCTTGTACAATGGCAGCAGACAATGAAGTAAGTGTGTCAATGCAAGACTTTGAGGAGATAGGCTGCAAAATACATCAGCCAATCATAGAGATTCCATGCCGCCACATGACAGTAGTGGCCAACCATAACTCATAGCTCACGATCACTCTGGGCCTTCCCACTCGTACACCCATCACGCATACCCGCTTCAGAAACTTAATGCAATCTCTCAGAAATTCATTCCCATGCCTGGAATGGAAAGATTTTCTCAAAATTTTCTGGAAATGCACATGATGCAATCCTGGGAAATTTGTTCCCATGCCTGGAATAGAGATATTTTTTGCAGAATTAACTGGAATGCTCTAATAATAATAATGGTAATGGTAATGATAATGATAATGATATTGTAGCGAATTTCCCCTACAAACGCTGTTTGTCGCTGAGTAGCCGACCCCACCAATTCCCCAGTGTATGCCTCGTGGTTCAGGTCAACCAGCGCCGCCATACATCACGGAGCGGGGGTCAACTACTAAGCCACGCCACCCCCCGCTATTTAAGACCTGACCTCGTGGTGACCTCTCTTTTCACCTACACCAACCAGCCAGCAACACCTCCTCCTGCCGCCTGGCGTGCCCTCGCCCTCCTCTCCGCCTGCCTGGCGAGTCCTCTCTCCGCCAGCGAGCATGGCGACCCACTGCTGTCCTTCTCTGAGCATCCTCACAACCAGCTCTCTCTACATCACGCTTGTAACCATGCTGCCTTCCCAGCACCAAGCTGCATTGTACATCCAATACAACATGTATAGAGAGCACATTGTATTTCTTCCATTCCATCCTGAGTGTGAACCAAATATCCCATACCCCACAATATTGATATTGATATTGATAATGATATTGATAATGATAATAATAATGATAATAATAATAATAATAATAATAATAATAATAATAATAATAATAATAATAATAATAATAATAATAATAATAATACAGTCAACCTCGTTAAAACGGACTAATGGGGGCAACGCTAGTTTATATGTCCGAATTAACCGATTTAGGGGTTAATATTGCATTATACAGCTATGTGTATGTTTATTTGAGTGCCCCGTCATAGGAGTCCATTTTCTCTCACTTCAGCACTCCTGAGTCGTCCGTTTTCTCTTAATCTTAGAGTGCACCAGAGACTGTTATATCTTAGTAGTGACACAGAATTTGATATTGCAACTGGGGTTGCAATTGTTGAGGCAACTTAGGTATGTCTGATTACAGTTGGAATATTCAAGATCCATTGTGAGTGATGTTTAAAGCTTCAACTGTCTTTATGGTTGGTAAAACTTGTCAAGTCTGTCAGTCTGAATGGCATGTGTGAGGCCTTGTGTTTGTACAACCGCTAAATAAATAAATATATAATGTTATGATAATTATCAGAAACACATAGGCATAACGAGGTTTATTACAAAGTGATGAAAAGGATACTGTACAGTGGCTAGTCCACAAAACATGTAGCCATGTCTCTTTATTTGAGTGCCCCGTCATAGGAGTCCGTTTTCTCTCACTTCAGGATGCCTGAGTCGTCCGTTTTCTCTTAATCTTAGAGTGCACCAGGGACTTTGTTATTTCTAAGTAGTGACACAGAATTTGAAATTGCAACTGGAACAATCCCAGAACCAGAAATTTGATATGGACAGTTCAGATTGCGTCCGATTTATCCGAAATAAAAATTAAAGGGGTCCGAATTAACGAGGGTCGACTGTAATAATAATAATACAGTATTACCCCGCCTAACGCGGTTTCACTTAACGCGTTTTATCATATACGCGGTGCCTCGCCAGAGCTGAACTTTCACTTAACACGGATTTTTTCCACATATACGCGGTGAGTGTCCGGCTCGAGACGCTATTTTTAGATTTGCCCCACCCTGCCTGACTGCCTGTTTTAGCTCATAAAATTCATACAAATTACCCGGCCAGAATATAATTTACATTGCTGGAATTCTTATAATTTGGTGATCATTTTGAATATAAACATCATATTTTTGCATTAGACATACAAATTTTAGATAAAAATTTTTCTCAAATTAACTATGTTATCTTTTGTGCAAAATATATGACATTTATATTCAAAATATTCCTGGTCTTACAAGGAATCCAGCAATGTCAATTATATTATCCTAACTTTAGTTTGAGGTATTATTTATTAAAATTTAGTGGTTATCCCACACATCTCCTTGGGACGGTTGGTGGGGGGTGGGGGGGAGGGAGGGACCGACCGACCATCTGTTACCCTGTGAAGAATTATTTTTTTTTTTATTAACTGAAGATATTTGTTTTAGCTCATAAAATTCATACAAATTACCCGGTCTGAATATAATTTACATTGCTGGAATTCTTATAATTTGATGATCATTTTGAATATAAACATCATATTTTTGCATTAGACATACAAATTTTAGATAAAAAATTTTCTCAAATTAACTATGTTATCTTTTGTGCAAAATATATGACATTTATATTCAAAATATTCCTGGTCTTACAAGGAATCCAGCAATGTCAATTATATTATCCTAACTTTAATCTGAGGTATTATTTAATACTAAATGTTAAAAACCCTGGAAGGGAGGATTGGTGGGGGGTGGGGGGGAGGGTTGGGACTGACCGCGCGGTTGGAAGAGGGGGGGAGGCAAGGTGGGGTACTTTGATTGACAGATAGTGTTGTGAAGATTATTTTTTTTTTTATTAACTGAAGATATTTGTTTTAGCTCATAAAATTCATACAAATTACCCGGTCAGAATATAATTTACATTGCTGGAATTCTTATAATTTGGTGATCATTTTGAATATAAACATCATATATTTTGCATTAAACATACAAATTTTAGATAAAAAATTTTCTCTAGGTAACTATGTTATCTTTTGTGCAAAATATATGACATTTATATTCAAAATATTCCTGGTCTTACAAGGAATCCAGCAATGTCAATTGTATTATCCTAACTTTAGTTTGAGGTATTATTTATTAAAATTTAGTGGTTTTCCCCCAAAAATTTCTCTGAGAGGGAAGAGCCAGCGAGTGTAGTGTGAGAGAGGGAGGGAGTTGAGTCCATTATTTGAATGGACATTAACTTGGCGACTGTATTTCTCTTAAGTATTAATTGTGTGCATGTACCATCATAAAATTAAGATGTTATTTTTACTACAACATAGGTATGTGCCTTCAAAAAGTGGAGTTTGGGGGTCAGGCCGGTTTCTATTGGAATTAATCCCATATGTTCTGATGTTCACTTAACGCGGATTTCACTTAACGCGGGACCCTCTGGGTTCAATTGACCGCGTTAAGTGGGGTACAACTGTAATAATAATAATAATAATAATAATAATAATAATAATAATAATAAAATATCTGCCTATTGGAGAGTTTTGGGGATCAAATATTGGAACACACTAAAATTTTACTCTCCAATACAAATTAGCATTGTATTATTTTGTTGAAAAGTCATCAAAATATCTTAATGATTATTATCCTCTAAACCCAACTCCTCATTATGGACCATTAACCTGCATGGATAATTACCTTCCACTTCTTCCCTGGTCGAGCTTCATTAACAAATTCTTCCCAGAGGTGACTGAAAGGGCCGTGACCCAGGTCGTGACACAGACCAGCTATTTGAACACACAAAACATCCTCGTCTTGGATCTTTAACTCAGGCTGGCGGGTCTTAATGGCACCAATCAACTCACCAGCCAAATGACAAACCCTTGGGAAGAAGAATATATCAAGCATAAAATCAGTAGATTGTTATAGGAACTAGGAATAATAATGCACCACAGTAAATTCACAAATATTCACAAGTTAATGAACATCCCTGGCTGAATTGTGGTTATTCCAGTTTGTAGATAATTCATTAAGAGTAACTTATGGGAAATAATTAAGGTTCCAAACTTGTCACCAAGTGGAAATAAAGAAAAACCATAGGTGGCGAGTAATTAGCATTATAAAAGTAATAATTAAAATCTTTGAGATGTCATATGGTCAAGTAATTATACAGATATCAAATTGTAGACAACAGATCCTTAATCAGCATGTTCAGGAGTACATACAGCATATTGAGATTTTGAACAAAACCCAAGATATCAAGATTGTAGCAAACACTTTTTCACTCAATTGAAATTGAATGTGTCTAACTACTTAAGTAAATACAGAATAATCCATAAACACCAAAGAGTGACCTTGAAAAACCAGGGTTACCACATACCACTGGTAAAACAAAAAAGGGCTTAAAGTTTATTTGGGGGGATTTTGGTTTTAATGCTATTATGTTGGTTTGAATAAAATTTATCTATTTGTAGCCCTTTTTATCTCATACACACACACACACACACACACACACACACACATGCACGCACACACACAAACACACACAATTATGAATCATAAAGCACATAAATAGTAAAAGACTGAGTTTATTGTGTCTGCTCTTGGTAAGATCTTGGATGGGGGAGCATCCGAGTGGTGAGTTTTATACTGATGAGGACACAGACTCACCGTGACAAAAACAACCTGTTCTCAGTACAGTACTTGTTCTCTTACCTTAATATCAAGTGATACAGTATTTGGCTTCTTCTGAAATGTAAACTTAAAGTTTATTTATGATTTTACATATGAACTCAAAAAGCAAGACAGCTCCTTACCCAAGGCTGTGCTCAAAGCGATTGTGTGCTGCAGCAGGAAAGACAAAGAAACAAGTTCCAAGCGTCTTGATGAACCTGAATGAAGAGACAATCTTACTAAAGCTGAAACAATCCCCTCAACAGGCATATGAATGAATACTTATAAAAGATGAAATTGGAGATATAAAAATGGGGAAAAATAATAAGCAATCATGCTGTTAATATTAAGTTCAAAGATGCATTTCTACTGAAGGAGTATTGTTAAAGTTTTGATGCAAAGGAAATGTCGTTACCAGTCCCAAAATAGCTGAGGAAGCAGTTGCCACTATTAAAGACACAGGAATACAGTTTCACCCAAAGCCCACATCCAGGTGTCTTAACATGTGACCAAGAAATTGTAGAGATGTGTTCCAAATTCCAATCATCAAAAGAACGTACAAAATATCATGTGACTAACTATTGTGTTCTGCCAAAATAGACGAGTTAACGGTCGGAATTTTTTCATAAGATGGCAGGTCAATGGGTAAAGAAAACGCTTAAATTTACTATAGCAATGATATTTTTAAATAAATTGGGCCAAAAAGTGTAAAAAAATAAGGGTTAAAGTTCATAAAAAATCACGTAACTGCGAAAAGCTCCGTGATTGATTGTGACGTCACTAATTGGCGCGAGCCGCCCAGCCAGCTGTGGTGTATGTGTTGTTACCAGCAGGAATACAAGACTTGTGACCATATACAATGATGATAAACACAGACATACAGTGAACCCTCACTTTACGCGGTTAATTGAACCCACGGCGGCCCGCGTAAAGTGAGAAACGTGTAAAGTGAACAACATAACATATGGGATTAATTGAAATAGAGACCGGGCCGACCCCCAAACTCCACTTTTTCCCGACACAATACATACGTTTTACTAAAAATAACATCTTAACTTTATGATGGTATTCACCCACACATAATATAGAAGGGAACAATCAATAAGAGAATAATAAACTGAAGGTTAGGTTAGAAAAAAACAAGATTGGGGTTAACACTTACGTTAGCAGAAGAGATGGGTTGGCGTAGGGGAATGGAGGCTGGTTCCGAGGCAGAGGGCAGGCTACTGGCCCTCAGGTGAGTCTTCATTGGTGTCATCCACACTTACTTGTGCCTCCCTGACAAATCCCTCAAAGTCATCATCACTGTCTCTGCCTCTGTCACTATCACTAGCTTGGGCTGGCTGTGGAGGGTTGCGGGCGAAGAACTCTATTATGCTTTGCTGACGGCTGGTGTTTATGTTGTCGTGATAAACCTTGATGTAGAGCTCCATAGTCTGCAACAGCTAGGTAGTGAAGATTTCTTCTTGGGATGACGCACCACCTGCCTCTTCACTGACGTCATCATCATCTACCATCTCGTCGGTAGTCACATCAGGATCCCTCATCACCTCCACGATGTCGTCGTTGGTGGTCTCAGAGAAGCCTGTAGCTGTAACACTCTGCGCAGCTTCTCTGGCAAGGTCCACTGCTACTGCAACAGTCTGAACCTCACCAGTCACAGATTTACTCTGCCTAACACCGGGAATGCCTTGCAACACATGTCTCCATGCGTGACGAACAGTTGCTACAGACAGCTGATCCCATGCCTCCACCAAGAAGTCCACAGCTTTCTTGACGTTGAATGTTCTCCAGAATTGTTTCAAAAGTACTTCTTGCTCTGCCAACTGTTGATCCTCGTCGTCTTCGCTCTTGCTATCAGTGTTGGTGTCACTCAGGTTGCGCAACTCTTCCTTGGTGTTGGTGTAGTCGTTCAGGAGGTTGAATTTTTTAGCAGAGAATGCAGCTTTTACATTACAGATCAATTCTTGGTCCATAAGCTGTATTATAGACGTAGTGTTGGGAGGAAGGAAGACCACTTTTACGTTGGGGTGACGATCTAACAGTAGGGGCAAGTGTCCTGGTGCGTTGTCAAGCAGCAACAAAATCTTGAATGGCACATTCTGTTGCTCACAGAATTTCTTCACATCGGGAACGAAAAAGTCATCAAACCAGGAGAGGGACAGTGTAAAGAACATCCACGTCTTACGTGCGGTCAACCAGTGGACATTTAGCTTGGTCATGTCCATGCTCTTGTAGGCATGCGGCTTACGTGCTGTGTGGATCACCGATAATTTGAGCTTACAGGTACCGGAGGCATTGGTGGTAAATAGGACGGTGATGCGCTCCTTCTGCAACTTCCGGCCCCGACACTTGCTGGCATTCTTCACAACAAAGGTCTTGGAAGGTAGCTTTTTCCAAAAATGACCAGATTCGTCCATGTTAAACACCTGGTCATCAGTGCACTGTCCTTCCTCCATAATCTCACGTAGCTTCTTCACCACCAATGTTGATATTGGTGATCTTGTTCCTCTTCTTAAACCTCTGTAACCACCCAGAGGAAGCATCTTTCGTGACACTGCAGCATACAGTTCACGTGCGTATTCCTTAACTGAGCGCGTGTCCACCGCCATGTTCCGTCGCGCCTGACGCACCAAGTAGCTCACAAGTAATTTTTCCGTCTTGAGAAGCACCTGGTTGTGGAAATACTTGATCATAGAAGCACCTGTAGACTTTGTGATGTTCATGTGCTCCTTTATCTTGGCTGCATCCTTCTTAATTGTCCTAATAGTTGATTCGTTAACACCATGCTGGCGCGCGAGATCAACCTGTCTTGTTCCTTTCTCCAACTCTTGTATGATCTTATATTTTATTTCATAGCTTAAGGAACATCTTAGTGTCTTCTTTGGCTTAGGGCGGCTGGGTCCAGGTAATGCAAGGTTTCTTTGTGGTGGTGGTGGTGGTGGTCCGGTGGAAGCCATTCTTATGGAACAATGGATACCGATATACACGGTGTAGCCTGGAGGGGTGTAACTGACGCAGTAGGTCAAGGGGCTTGAACGCTCCCGCGGCGGGGCACGTCAGAGTACATTAAACCAATCACAGCTAGCAGGGAGGGAGGTAAGGATGCTTTGCTCAATCACAGTCCGCTACGTCATATGACATCACCGATAAAGCAACGAAGACATACACTGCACAACCTACTCGCACCGCTTACACAACATGGCGGATGGCGGGAGAGATGGCGGGAGGTTTGGATCCAAAAATGGCGCCGCGCGAGAGGACCGCCAGCCGCTCTCCGCGTAAAGGGGTACACGCACCGCGGAAAGTGAGCATTCCATGTTCGGCAGGGTGCCGCGTAAACGTGGAAACGCATAAAGTGGGACCGCGTAAAGCGAGGCTTCACTGTACCTTATTTTCAGGTTAAAATAAATTACTGCCCAAGTATCATCGTGTGTATTTACTTGCTGGGTGCCCAAATGATACAAAAGACCGATAACTCCAACATGGAAGTTTTCATCACTGTTCTCAATTTCATGTCTGGAAAATGTAAGTTATCGTCACTGATGTCTATATTTAATGTTGTGGAAGGGCTATGGACGACCATGGCCAGGGGATGGGCTCGAGATGATCAGATGACAGATGTAATTTAATGTGCTTCATAGCTGGTTGGCGGAGTTCTTGATAATACTCTATCATAAAGACATCTACTTTTGGTAAGTTTCTTTCATCTGCCTTGATGAACCCTGAAAGTTGTTGTCCAACCTTCTCGGCTGATCGGCTCTGTAAATAAATATTATTAGATAATTAATTGTGCTTTACTGTGCAACACAGTAATGCTATATTGAATATATAAATATTACGAAGCACATTAACAAATTCAATGGATATTAGCTGCCCATACTACAAATTTCATAGTATAAACATTCCAAACAATATTTGTATTATTTTGGTTTTCGTCATCTGGGGAACCTTAAGACTCTAACTATGGGATTATGTACTTTAAACATTATGACACATTATCTCTATGAGATTGCTGTCGCAAAACATTTTTCGATCTCATAAGAAAATACAGGTCATAGGTTAGGTTACGTTAGGGTATGATGATTTATAAGGTTAGCTTAATATACATAGGTAAGGGAGTGGGGGAGTAACACAAAACTAGTGATTTCCGATAGAAATGAAGGTTCTAAATCGTTCATAACACATAGCAAACCATCAGAAAAAACTTAAGTCTGCATGTCTATGCTTGTCTCGAATCTAGCATCCAAATACTTTTGGTAGTTAAAGTAAAATTTTACCCATTAATTAATAAAAATGATGATATATACCAGTGGTTCATTAGTGAATCATCAAAACAATAACAGCACATTATAACAAACAAGGAGGGTATGGTGGCCAAACTGGAACACCTTGCCCCAGTTGGCACCAGTCACCATATAGTGTTGTCATTCAGATTTAACTGTTACCTAGCTCAAGATAAGGCCAGGCCAAGGTGCAAATATTACAGGGGAAATAACAACGGGATGAGGGAAGAGATGAGAGGTATCAACTGGCCTGACTCATTAAGGCACAAGAACGCGGACACTATACTGAATATCATAACTAGTAAAGTGACCCATTTGATCGATAAATATATACCCAAGACCAAACCCAGTGCTTCTAGGAATACGAGGGGATCCCTACACATGAACCATGCGGCGGTCGACAAAGGTGAGGGGAAAACCCAGAAATTCAAGACGTGGGTTGGGTCGAACGACGAGCAGGACAGGAGGATGTGTGCAGGAGCCGGAAGCCAAGCAAAGATAGAGTGTAGAAGGGCTGTAAAAGAGTTCCGGAGGCTGGTTGCAAGCGAGATCAGGTCAAACCCAAAGGCGTTTTGCTGCAAATTAAAAATGCGAGTAAGAGTATCAGACCTGAGGTTTGAGGATGGTAGTTGCACAGATTCTGACCAAGAAAAAGCCAAGGCATTGAACAGCTTCTTTTTCTCTGTGTTCACAATAGAGGATGCGATTAATCTTCCTAAGTTTGAGGACAGATGGTTCGACACAGCACTGACCCACATTGTGTTCACAGAAGAGAGTATTAGAAATAAACTGTCAACGCTAAATGTCCATTAATGTCCAGGCCCTGACAAGGTGCATCCCAGAGTGCGGAGAGAGTTGTGAAACTAGCTTGCCGAGCCCCTGAAGATCCTGTTTTGTGGGTGCCTGGTGAAGGTTCCAAGTGTTCCCTGAAGAATGCAGTGATGGGTAGGGAAACACCGGGTAACACTGAAGTCCATTTATTCGGATAGGAGAAATACAAGTGGTGACTAGCGTGTGCCATGCACGGCCCACACAGTCAGACTGAGACTGCCTTGCCATATGGCAGCCTCGGGGCAATGTTGCCACATAACACGTGCAGTGTTGCCACGTAATTATATACATAGGTGCTACTCGGCACAGTAGCTTATATACAAGGTTGCTACTCAGCACAGTAGCTTAGATACATAACCTACACCCGGATAAACAAAAGGTCCCCAATGATTGGAAGGTGGCTTGTGCAAGTCCTGTCTTCAGGAAGGGAGATCGTCGCTCCACGAACGACTGTAGACCGGTGAGCCTGACCAGCATAATATGTAAAGTACTTGAGAGTATTATCAGAGATGCAGCGATGGAACATCTACTACGAAACAACCTTGTAAAGGATTGCCAACACGGTTTTATGCCGGGGCGCTCCTGCTTAACACAATTGCTCAAGGTATTGGATGTTTGGACCCATATTCTGGAACGGGGTGGTAATATCGACAATATGTACCAAGGCTTTTGACACTGTGACCCATGAAAGGCTGAAAGTCAAACTGTAAGGGTGCAGAATTCAGGGGAGGTGTCCTAGCATGGATAGAAGACTTTCTACATGACTGCAAGCAGTGTGTGGTGATTAGCGGCACGAAATCGTCATCTGTACCTGTCACAAGCGGGGTACCACAGGGCAGTGTGTTGGGCCTGCTGTTGTTTGTTTGTTTCAGAGATAACGTGCCTGACGTTGTACACTCCTCCATACAAATGTTTGCCGATGACGCCAAGTTATTTTGGGAAATCAAGAACCAAGCGGACTGTGAAGAGCTGCAGAGGGATCTAGGTGAACTCCAACAATGGTCGAAGAAATGGCTGCTGAGATTCAATGTCACGAAGTGTAAGAGGATGCACCTGGGGCATACCAACGGTTAGGAGGCATATCGTATGTTCTAACGGAATGAAGAAACTGCACTATTTGAGACTGAATGTGGGAAGGACCTAGGTGTGTATGTTGACAATGGGCTGAGGTTCTCGGCCATTGCAACAAGAAGGTAAATCAGGGAAATATATTTTTGGGTCTTATGGGACCATCTAGATATCTGTACAACCCATTCAGATATCTAGATGGTCCATCCCTCGTGGCAATCTTCGAGAGTGCGGTGCTTCCTCATCTGGAGTGGTCACCCCGTCTGGTCTCCGAGATGCTAGGGACTGTCAGTTGGTTGAAAATGTTCAAAGGAGGGCCACCAGACTTGTGCCTGCACTTCAGCACCTCAACTACCCTGAGAGATTGGAGCGCCTGAACTTGCCTAGCTTATACTACAGATAGGCAAGGGGCGACCTAATTGAGGTGCATAAGCATCTCAAGGGGCACTACTCAGTCGAGTGTCCTTACTTGGAGCTGGCGGACGCTCGCCCCACAAGGGGTCACAGCTCAAAATTGAAGAAGCCGCAGGTCCAGAAAACTGTGAGGGCAAACTTTTCCGGAGTGTGAGTTGTGAACTCTTGGAACAATCTACCAGAAAGTGTTGTGACGGCACCGAGTGTGAGCTCTTTCAAGACAAGACTTGACCAACACTGGTGCAGGTACAGGTACATTTAGGAGCCGGTGCATGCCCAATACTTGCCAACAGTGTGTAACAGAGACGTAACCAAGCATCAGGCATTCTCAAAACAAAGTCCAGACAATATCATTACTTCTAAATTGACTCGTATCTCCATGACAGCTGAGGTGGTGTGAAAATAGGATTTTTTTGTCTATAAGAACATAAGAATGGAGGAAACTGCCGTGGGCCTGTTGGCCCATACAAGGCAGTCCTATTTACACCCAACCCCTATCACTCATATATCCACCCAACCTATGTTTGAAGCTGCTTTTCACGGCACATTTCTTCACTTACGAAATGTCCATGACTTGGATCATAAAAAAACTCTCTTAAAACTTACCTGCTGCGGTGAGTTTGATAGAGAGCGTCATCTGCTGGGAAACTGGCAACATCGTTGCAAATGGCGCCTCTGTTTCTAGAGAAATAAACTTATCTCGACTATTATAGCAGGACCTTAAACTTTTATTACAAATTATATATACCGTATCACTCTACGAACATGGCAGAGTTTATTTCTTGTGTTTACCCAGAACCGTTAACTCGTCCATTACTGTAACACTGATGAGACTTCTTCATAGTTTTGAATCATGTAAAATAAAATTTATGATCAGTAAAAATGACTGAATGGAGCACAGGAACAAGGTTAATGTTAAGGAAAAACCTGTAGTAGACATCAAGGAATGAAATGGACAAGCAGTTTGAAGCACTTAGGCAACAAGAAGCCCCCACCCCTCCTTCTACCCAAAAGAAACAAAAACAAAAAGAGCCAGGCTATTTTGGACATCCACACAATATTGTATGAAGATACAGCATCGTTAATAATCTTGCCTCTGGGTCTCCATACTTGTTCGCCACTTACCCAAGGCTGTGTTCAAATCGACTGTGAGCTGCAGCTGGGTATACGAAGTAAACAGAACCCAACTGTTTAACGAATCTGAAGAACATTATTGTAATGTGTACAGTACATGAGCCACAGATACACAGAATTAAGTACTGTGCTGTATATATAAAGTGTAAATAAGAACAACAAAATAATTAAATCATATACAGTAATAGTAATCTGCAATATGGATGTTTAGCATGCAATATGACCAATCCTAATAAAAGCGTAATTCCCAGTTACATTTAGGTAGTCCCTCTCTTGTTCCTAAATTTGTGCATATCTGTGAATTAATAGTGTAAAGTAAATCTTAAATTTTTAGAGCATGAGTAATTTTACTTATTTTTTTCCAGATTGATGAATATGTTTTGTGTGCTAAAAAAATTATGCTAAGAATTAAATTCAAACATTTAATATAGAAATACAAAGCATTAAACACTAAATTTCTACATAGGCAAAAATATTGAATAATATTTTCGATATACTTGTACTATTGTACTGTATAGTGTATGTTTTAATGTACTGACACTATTTAATTTTATATTTTGTTTTATACAAGTATTACTGGACTTTGCTAGCCAGTAAATAAAATTAATGGTGTTAATTGAAAACCTCCAGTAAAGTTTATGAACGTAATTTCATTCGCTATTTTTAAAGAGATAAAAATTTAATGAATGGCTAGTATCATAGAGAAAGTTTCATGGGTAATATGGTTCTTTCTTTTCCACCTGACTTCATTTTATCCTGTTTATCACATGTCAGCTTCTGTGCAAGTTGGGTGGTGGGTTAATTCACCTTTACACACCGTTGGCAAGTACAGTACTGGTCCTGCACAAGTACTTGATAGTACTGTACCTCTATACCCTTTTTTTTTTTTTAATAATAATTTCGCCACTTATCAGTGTTAGCACAGGTGGAAACTGGAGTTTGTGAAACCTGCGATGTTTGATGGTGTGGGTTGGGCATCTGCTTACCCCAGACATGTGTTTTGTAGAGAAGACTGATAGTAGATAGGCAGACTCCTATCAATTTTTATGATGACATGAAACTCAGACAACGATATAGGTTCAACAAGGGAGATTTCCTTGACATTTTCTGTGATATATAGCATCTACTTGACAGACCTGTTGGCTATGGTTCACCTCTACCTCCCATTCATCAGCTGATGATTGCTTTGCAACGTATAGTTTCCAGGTAAGAAAGATTCTGGTTACTGAATGAGTTATGGTAATGTGTTACAACCCTTTTGTGTTTAGGGTCCATGAAGATCAAAAGCGTAAATGTAAAGAATGCTGATGCTTCTTTATTTTCAGTGTTTTTCTTTAAGAACACTATTTTGATGTATTTTCAATACAATTGAATCAATGCTGAGTGCATTTTGATGTTAAAGTATTAATAAAGGAAACTTTTTCTTAACATTACTAATCAGGGGATATGTGGAGGGTTAAAAGAACAGAAAGAAACCTAATCTAACCGAACCTAGCCAAGTTACTAAGCCCTGCATTGATTCATCTTGCTTTGGTTATGAATATTGACACCTGTCCTAGATTATATCTACAATTTTTATGTAATTGTTCTTCCTCTATGAATTTCTTTATCATAAAACAATACAGCCACATTGTATTACATTACTCTTTCTCTACCCAATACAAGGTTTATTCATCATCCTTCAACAGAAGGATGACGAATAAACCCTGTATTGGGTAGAGAAAGAGTCGGGCTTCCGGTTGAAACAAGAAACTGATTTGGGCGCCATTGGTTGATTCGTCACTATCAATGGGAGCACCTCATATAATTTAGATTAATTTTTCCCCTAAACAATGTGTAATAAAGGTGGTTTACTATGCATAAAGATCTATGACAAACTAAAACAAACATTTAACAAAGTTTCATGACAAGAGAGGTTTAAAGAGAAGACCTGTCAGTTGCCTCATCTTCCCATAAAATATTACAGCAAATAATGAAGAAAGGCTATGCAATATTTTCTGGTTTTTTTATATCAACAGTAATTTCAAGCATCATGTACAGTAATGTATATTACAATGGATTTAGGGAAAACACGGTACAGACATAAAATTTTAAAGAAGACTGATGTAACAGATGTAATAATAACATGCAACATGCAAAATAAAGATTTTTCAATAAATAACAAAAAATTAAGAAAATATTCTAAAACAACACTTGACGGTATCAAATATCAACTGGCTCTGGGGAAAAAATATACACATCTTAAAGTATTGTTTACAAAACAAATGGACCTTTAATGTTAGAGACAAATGTTGTACAGTCAGCATTCTATTAACATGGTTATAGAAAAAACACCCTGCCAGTCCTCTGTTCCACCCATCAACCGGTGAATCCAAGATATCACACATTGTTGGGCCCATAGATGGCGCAATATGTGATGTCTCAAAACCACAGGTTCAGGGGTCTCAGGGTTCATGGATGGGTCGGAGGATTAACAGAACTTTTTTTTTTACATGTCTGTACATGACACAATCCTGAAAATCTGCACAGTAACTGGATATACGTTAGCTGTACATAAATTAAGATATGTCCCAGTAGGTTTTGTGTAATAAAGCTTAAAATGTATCATTGCTATGCTAAGGTGAGAGCATGTGGAAGTAAACTCAACACAGCCTCCTGGTGAGCATAAGGTAACAGACGGATGACTACATTGAAGAAAATTTAATCCAACTCAAAGTCAGAGAAACTAGAATATCCTCGAACAAGATTGGTCTTGGTCCTAAGGATCCCTGATGTGAGAGTTTATACCTGCACACTACATGAAAAGTCACCTGTTGATGAACAATATGCTATAAATAGATGATTGAAGTATCTCATTGCATGTTAGCTATAAAATGTGATTTAAATATTTCATATATACTTTACTTCACTGGCAGTACTATACCATTATTTTTAAATGTCAACATGATTTTTTGGGGGGGAAAAAGATTATAAACATTTGGACTAGATCTAAAAAAAAGCAAAAACTTATTTTAAAACTGAGAAGTTAATGGGGAATACTGCCTTTAAATTCCTGAGAAAATATCTGAACTCTTTCATACAGTACATTGCTGGTACTGGGAACAAACTAACAGATCATATCATTTATGTATACAAGTGTGAATATAACCCTGAAAACTTTAATAATTTTCATAAAATGACATGTAGCTATGAGATATACATTCATACTTACATAAAAGTACAGACTTGCACAGACTTGCACACACCCCCCCAAACACACATACACACTACCTGAGCCGCTGGAACTGTGGAGTGTCAATGATTTTAACACATAGTGGATGGAGAAAGATGGCCCCATGGATAGCATCACTGAAGACCTTCTCATTCACCCCAATGGATACTTGGGGATCACTATGCATTTCATCAGGATCACTGCTATTCAGCATCATCTCTGCAACATAAAGCGTCATCGTGAAATTCAGTATCTCAGAGCCACATCACGGCAGGGCTTCCACAAAAAAAAATAATAATTCTTTACCTCGGACCATTGTGTGAATAAAGTACAGTAGCAACTGATTGCTTAGAGCCCATCATGACATTACAGTAGTTGTGTCAGAGCAGAAGGCAATGATATTTTGCATAGAGATATTTTTAGAGCAGGCAAAAATGCCTTGAGCAGTTGATGAGTCTATGAGATCTAAAAAGAGTATTTTCATCAAAGTACTGTGCTAATATACTTAGCTGTTTTGTTGTACTTGTGTCTTTTGTCTCATCAATTATTATAGAAAACAATCTTTCTCTTAAGAATGGCACAAAGTTCATCTGAAGTATTTACCGAACACTTGTCATGTAATATTGCTTGTTCTCTGTTTACCTAATGATACTCTCTTTAAACCTTCATTCTCAATCTCAGAAAACAAAGATTTAAACAAATCAAACAAAGACTCCGAGAGCGATATTGGCAAATGGTGCTCCGAGATAAATGCACAGAACATCAGTTCAAACTTTCGAGCACTTTTATCAACAGGAACATTAGAGATTACATGTGTAGCCATACTTTGAAGATTGACATGTTGTTGTGCTAACTTTCTGTGTCGCTGTGATTTAAAATGGCGTACAAGTTCAGATTTACCACACGTTACAACAACACTACAAATACAGCGTAGAACAAAAGGCAACATCTTTAGCTGTACTAGTCGATTTGGGGGAATTTTCCACCAATTATTTAACTCCTGTTTTAGTCGAGACTGCTTAAATTTTTGAGAATAAGACTTTGTTTACTTGACACATTTTGCTTATTCTTAGGTGTGGATGCTAGGCTGACATTAGTCCCTTCACATGAATGTTCTGGGGCAGAAGACTCTGCACTTTCTCATCCTGCCATTATGATCTTTTCCTTATTCCCTAAACTGATGAAGTGAAAATAAATAGCCTGAAGGGCCAAAATGCATTAATATACTGTTGTATACTAGCCTAGCCAGAATGGCCCAGTCCAGGTTCACTGATAGTATGAAATGCTTAGAAAGCACCTGCTACAGCCTGAAAAGCCAAGGTTTATTAACAGAAAAATGCATAAAATACTATAGCCAGATGGGCCAATATTCATTAATAGTATGTAGTGCATACAGTGTGTCAGACTGACAAACTTAGATTCATCAGTACTGTAGTATAAAAAGCATAGTACGATATAGCCTCATGGGCCAGGATATGGTATTACTGTACAGTATTATCGTTTTGGGGATCCAGCGATTTTTATTTATTTTTATTTTTTTAATCAGTAGTTTAGACAAATCTAGGACTTTTCTTCTATGGAATTTTGCCCGCTCATTATTTCAGAAAAAATAGTACAGTCGACCCTCGTTAAAACGGACTAATAGGGGGGGAAGGGTGTCCGTTTTAGCCGATTGTCCGAATTAACCGATTTAGGGGTTAATATTGCATTATACAGCTATGTGTATGTTTATTTGAGTGCCCTGTCATAGGAGTCCGTTTTCTCTCACTTCAGCACTCCTGAGTCGTCCGTTTTCTCTTAATCTTAGAGTGCACCAGAGACTGTTATATCTTAGTAGTGACACAGAATTTGATATTGCAACTGAGGTTGCAATTGTTGAGGCAACTTAGGTATGTCTGATTACAGTTGGAATATTCAAGATCCATTGTGAGTGATGTTTAAAGCTTCAACTGTCTTTATGGTTGGTAAAACTTGTCAAGTCTGTCAGTCTGAATGGCATGTGTGAGGCCTTGTGTTTGTGCAACCGCTAAATATATAAATATATAATGTTATGATAATTATCAGAAACACATAGGCATAACAAGGTTTATTACAAAGTGATGAAAAGGATACTGTACAGTGGCTAGTCCACAAAACATGTAGCCATGTCTCTTTATTTGAGTGCCCCGTCATAGGAGCCCGTTTTCTCTCACTTCAGGACGCCTGAGTCTTCCGTTTTCTCTTAATCTTAGAGTGCACCAGGGACTTTGTTATTTCTTAGTAGTGACACAGAATTTGAAATTGCAACCCCAATTGCAACTGGGATAATCCCAGAACCAGAAATTTGATATGGACGATATGGACAGTTCAGATTTCGTCCGATTTATCCGAAATCCGGATTAAAGGGGTCCGAATTAACGAGGGTCGACTGTACTACTTTTTTGGAAAATCGACTGTGGAAGGATGACCCAGATGACTCCAACTCTCAGTCTTCTGAATCTAATTAAGGTAGGCATAGGTTAGGTTTTGTGTGATTAGCGGTAGAAATAAAGGTCAGATTTGTTCAAAACACATCAAAAAACACCAGAAAAACATACTGTAATTTCAACTTCAAAAATGGTAAATATTTGTCCATTGACTGTCCTCAGGTTTTGATACCAAATTAGTATGTTTTGTGTGTATTATGGTGTGTTTTACTCAAATCTGACCTTCACTTCTTGTACAAAAAAAAAAAATACATAAATAAAAAAAACCCCTAACCTAACCATTTCTTGGAGCTTACCCTGCTACTGTGGTGGAGAATACAGCTGAGCAATCAGATATGCTTATGGTTAGACAAAAGAATGTGGTGTTTCTTAAAAATAAAAAATTACCTCACTTAGGACAGTCGTCATGTTAGTAGAACACCATAATCTTGTAATATTTGGATTTCTTCACTATTGTTCTGATAAACTCGCTGAATAACAGCTAGATAAGGGAGAGAGAACTTATCACACACCATTGCGACCCTCCAAAATGGCTACTTCAGCCTTCATAATGGCTGCTTCAATATGATTGGCCAGCTAAGTCACATGACACAATACTTGAAGGTCATTGGTTGTCATGTTACGAGGAGAGAAGTGACTCTTGCAACATGGCGGGGACAGAAATTTACGCCTAGAAATTTGCAAGATACAGTAAGTCCTCGTATAATGTTGTTTCGGTACTGTGTCGCCAAACTTTTTTGACCAAAAATTCGTTTAACGTCCCGGTGATCCGATACTACACCATTTTGCGTCGCCAGGGACTACTTTCTACAGCGCATCACCCGCTCTTGTCTGGCCGCGCTGCCCTCACTCTCGGAATGTCACAGCGTCCCCAAGCGACGCTAAGCCCGTCTTTCTTACGACTTCACATCATTATAGAAAATCAAACATACGTTTTCATATCATTTCTTGTGCAAATCAATATTAACCCTTACGCCCCAGGTGAAGTACCAAGACGCCCAACTAGCGTTCCCCGGGTGACATTCCAGAACACGCGCCTTTTCCTACCAGCGTTTAAATGCCCAGCACGGGTTATCAGGTTCCAGTGTGACTATTTGCCTGTCACACCACACGCTCGGTCACAGGGAAGCTTCCTGTACGTAATTACCCTCTTTTGTTTGTTTTATTTCCATTGTTTGTCCATTTTATCATGTTGTATCAAATTAATATTGCTAAAAATAGTGTACAGTCAACCCTCACTTTACGCGGTCCCACATTCCGCGTTTCCAGGTTTCCGCGGTACCCTGCCAGAACCCGGGATGCTCACATTCAGCGGTGCGTGTACCCCTTTACGCGGAGAGTGTCCGGCTCGACGATATTTTTAGATTCGCCCCTCCCGCCTGCTCCCGCCTCCGCCTGGGCAAGCCGCGCGGTAAGGTTGCGCAGTGCATGTCTGTTGTGTTATCAGTGACGTCATATGACGTATCGGACTGTGATTGGCCATGCATCCCTACCTCCCTCCACTGCTAGCTGTAATTGGTTTAAAGTAATATGACGTGTCCACCCGGGGAAGGGAGGGAGGGAGGAAAGACGACGCTTGACCTAACCGCGGCAGTTTCATCCCTCCACGCCACACCGTGTAATCGTGCATCCATTGTTCTGTAAAATGGCTTCCGCCGGACCACCGCCCCCAGAGAGAAACCTTTCCTTGCCTGGACCCAGCCGCCCTAAGCCCAAGAAGACACGACGTTCCTTAAGCTATGAGGTGAAGTACAAGATCACCCAAGAGTTAGAGAAAGGAACAAGACAAGTTGATTTGGCGCGCCAGCATGGTGTGAACGAATCTACGATCCGGACGATAAAGAAGGATGCAGCCAAGATAAAGGAGCACATGAAGATCACAAAGTCTACAGGTGCTTCTATGATCAAGTATTTCCACAACCAGGTGCTTCTCAAGATGGAAAAATTACTTGTGAGCTACTTGATGCGTAAGGCGAGACGGAACATGGCGGTCGACACGCGCTCTGTTAAGGACTACGCACGTGAACTGTACATGGCAGTGGCACGAAAGATGGGAACTTCAGAGCCCAAACCCTTTAATGCTTCCTCTGGGTGGTTACAGAGGTTTAAGATCCGGAACAAGATCACCAATATAAACATTGGTGGTGAAGAAGCGAGTGCTGATCGTGCTGCGGCTCGGGAATTTCCTCCGTTTTTACGTGAGATTATGGAGGAAGGACAGTACAGTGACGACCAGGTGTTTAACATGGATGAATCTGGTCTTTTCTGGAAAAAGCTACCTTCCAAGTCCTTCGTTGTAAAGAATGCCAGCAGGATTCGGGGCCGGAAAATGCAGAAGGAACGCATCACCGTCCTGTTTACCACCAATGCCTCCGGTGCCTGTAAGCTCAAGTTATCGGTGATCCACACAGCACGCAAGCCGCACGCCTACAAAACAATGGACATGACCAAGCTAAACGTCCACTAGCTGACCGCACATAAGGCGTGGATGTTCTCTACACTGTCCCTCTCCTGGTTTGATGACCGTTTTGTTCCCGATGTAAAAAAATTCTGTGAGCGACAGAATGTGCCATTTAATATTTTGTTGCTGCTGGACAACGCACCAGGACACTCGCCCCTACTGTTAGATCGTCACCCCAACGTAAAAGTGGTCTTCCTTCCTCCCAACACTGCGCCTTTAATCCAGCCCATGGACCAGGAGTTGATTTGCAATGTGAAAGCTGCATTCTCAACAAAAAAATTCCAGCTCCTGAA